TATTACCTATATGAAATTTTAAGATCAAGAACTGTCGTATCATGTGGTGGAAGCCATGGTGAAAAAAAAATTATATTATTAGGACGATTGATCAATTCAAATAGACCATATTTCATAAAATGATAAGTTATTATAAAGATCATTACCACTACTGCAAGTTTTGACAATTCCCCATGATTTAAGAATAAAGTTGGAGTTTGTCCTTGTGCAAATGCAATTTGTGATGTCAAAATTCTTTTATCATAACAACTGAGAATAATCCAAAGCGTCAATAACATTGTCAAATGCTACCTTAGTCAGTCCTAACAATTCTTGATGAATAAGTTGTGCCTAGTTTCAGACATTGCTTTATCAAAATAAAATTCTTGACAAGTAACACTTAATACATCTTTTAATTAATGAGTTTTCCGCAATATTAGACGGTACACGGTGCTTATATATTTATCTCTGTCTTCCAGATAAAACATTGGAGGTATGTTAACAAAGTTATTCACTGTCTTTTAGGAGGTTATATTTTNATGTCTAGTTTATAGACAGTTTTGTATTTTTCAACGATATTCGCGATGCAGCTGCACTCTCACACAGCGTCTGTAACAAATGAAGAAGCTCAAAAAATGTCAACATAAGAGAGCGACACTGCTGTTCAATGTTAGAACTTCTATGTGTCAGTCTTTGTCGGTAAGAATGGATAACACAATAACAACTGATCAATAGCATTTGATCAATAGTGGGTAAGTTAAATTTCTTGAGGTCGATCAGTTATCGAGAATCGTTAAGTTACCAAGGTCGATAAGTTTCCGGAGAGCGATAAGTTACTAGAGTCGATAAATTTCCGGAGAGCAGTAAGTTACCAGAGACGATATGCTTCCTGGGATCGGTATGTTTCCCGGGGCCGGTATGTAACTTTCTTGCACATCGCAGAAGCAAAGTGAGGTTCAAAGATTCCAATTTTTGAATAGATTTAAATAAGGATGGTACTTCCCACTTACCCAATGCAAATAATTCATACTATATTCTGCAGGCAATCGATGTCATCGATGTGCATTACGAAGGTCTGAGTAATCTGTATAATCTCATAAATTTCAAGTGGCTTAGCATTAAGTATGTCAAAAATATCTATGACTAGAACTTTGAAAAAATATCAACAGGNATAAGTTACCAAAGTCGATATGGGATCGGTACGTTTCCCGGGGCCGGTATGTAACTTTATTGCCCATCGTAGAAGCGAAGTGAAGTTCAAAGATTCCAATTTTTGGATAGATTCAAATAAGGATGGTACTTCCGACTTACCCAATGCAAATAATTCATACTATATTCTCCAAGCAATCGATGTCATTGATGTGCATTACGAAGGTCTGAGTAACCTGTGTAATCTCATAAATTTCAAGTGGCTTAGCATTAAGTATAGCAAAAATATCTATGACTAAGACTTTGAAAAAATATCAGCAGAGCTTCCGGAATAATTTGGCATCTCAGGCTGTTAAAAAATTACTGAGAGAGGATTGGAGAGGCACTGTATAGAATATTCAATGTGAAGAAATTGATTGTTACAATTCTAATGAAGTATCTCTTATTGCATCTTATGAGTTTTTTCCTGATGTTTTTTCATCAAAATACACACGATAGCCTTCGCACAATAGCCTTCTCAAGATGAAGAACTGTCTTGTCACGTGGTAGAACCTATGAACGAAAGGAAAATTATATTATTAGGATGATTGATCGATTCAAATAGACCAATATGTAAATGATAAATTATTATAGAAATCTCAAACATTAATACTACTACAAGTTTTGGCAATTTTCTATGACTTTGGAATAAGCTTGTCCTACCTGTGATATAAGTTCTTCTATCGTAACTATCTGAGAATAATGCAGAGAACAATGGATCACTGTCAATAACATTGTCAATAGCTATCTTAGTCAGTTATATCAATTCTTGATGACTAAGTTGTTTCAGACTTTGTTTCATCAGGCCACAATTCTTCTCAAGAATCCCTTATTGCATTTCATATTTGAGAGTATTCTGCAATGTCCATATTAGATCGTTTACGATG